TTCTAGTGGGATTTCAGTGATTTTTTCAAAAATCAACAAACTTTTATAGTTTTCAATAATGTTTTTTGCTGGGTCTTAGAGAGAGGTCAGAGCGTTTTCTAGGTAGAGAGAGAACAGATATCTTTCGAGGTAAAATACTGAAAAGTGACTTATATAGCAACCCAAAACGACAACATTTGGGAGGCCTTCAGACCTACGAATAACCCACTAACCCGCGTGCTTACTAGAGTGCTGATCTGATTTTAATCGTAAGTTTTCCCTTTTCTAATTTTATTTTATTTTTAGATTTCATTTTCTTTTCATATATTTATCTTATATTTTGATTTTGATTTTGATTTTTAGTTTTTTATTTTACTAGTTTATTTATTTATTTATTTCCCTTAAGTAATTTATCATTTGTTAAATATTTTGCAAAATAAAAAATTTCCTTTCTACAAAAAACAATGAGAAAAAGATAAAATAAAATAAAAATCTTGTTCAAATAAATTCATGAATTCTGCCAAATTATTGGAGAATTTTCATATATTTAAATTTTATGGAATTCATCAAACTATTGAAAAACTTCATAAATTAGTTTCCAAAAAAAAATATTTTTCTCCTACCAAACTGTTGGAAGATTATTTCTTAAATTAAGTCTTACCAAACTATTAAGAGATTTAATGAATTTTTTAAAAAAAAATAAAATAAAATTTTATAAACACTTTTACAATAAGATATCACCAAACTATTAAAAGATCTGTCTCAAAGTAAATCCTACCAAACTATTAAGAAATTTTACTAATTTTTTTAATAAAATACTATAATAAATTCGACGACAGAACCTCTCCAGGGTGGGATACTAGTCTCCATGAATACTCTTAAGGTGAAAAAATTATCTTAAATTACTACTAAACTATTGAGATAATTTTATAATTAATTTTCAATATTAAATATGTTGGTAAATTACAAATATATTTAAAGCTTGGATAATTTAAAATTAAACCGGTATCATCTTTTGATGGACATTGTGAGGGTGTTATAACCTTCCTCACACATAACCGTACTCTCTAACTTAAAATATGATTTTGTGGATCAGAATCTACTATTTAAAGATATTTAAATTAATATTGAGACTTCTTTTTTAATAGGATAAATTTGATCAAGTAATTAATCACACCTAAACAAAAAATATTGGTGACAACTCCCTTAATTTATATCTAATAGTAGGTCAACAGCATGATGAAGATTCATTTTATTACACCAGAACTATGTTTGGGGGCCAAAATGGCACTAGCATGTGATATACAATGACATTTTGAACCCAAAATCGACTTTGGTGCGGTGAAATTGAATCCCTCTGTGTCAGAGTCATTATCGAAATGGCGGTAGATTGTTTATGTGAAGTAAATTTTAGTACTAGGCTTTACTTTTTTTGATAAATATATAAAAGGGTTTTGTGAGCTCTAAGCCTCTAGCTTCACTGCAAGAATTAAATTACATGTGATGCATGACATTAAAATGTACCTAGATGCATGGTTATAGTTGAATCTTTTCAATTGACCTTGAAATAATTAATTAATATTTATTTGTACATAAATATATATATGTCTAACTTTATTTCACAACTTTTTATTAGTTTCCAATTAATAATGTCTAAAGTTTTAAATAACTTTATAATTAAGGAAAAAATTATCAATATCGAAAAATAAAAAAAGATAATATAATATCTTGGAAGGAGAAAACTTTTTTAAGTGAAGTTTGCAAATTTAAAAAAAATTAATTTAATAAAAATTTTAATGAAAAAATTTAAATCAATAGAGTAATAAAATTTAATATGAAAATAAATAATATATAAAATATTATTTATAATTTAAATTTATTTAATAATAAAAATTTTATTAATATTATTATTAAAAATATTTTTCTAAAAATATTATCAAAATTTATTAAATTTATTAAAAATTTTACACACGTAATAAAATCTTTTAATTTAATCATTTTTAATTTAAAATTTTACGAAATTCATCTAAAACCTTCTTCTCAATTTTTTCGTACGGACGGATGCTAGATACACTGACATATTTTCAGCGAAAAAGTTCAAACCAGCGCACGTGGAATTTGACCAGAGCTCAAGCAGTCTAGATGCTTCTTATAGCCCTCCTTGTCTATCTATATAATATATTAGGCAAACCCCACCGAAGCTGGAAACCAAATCAGCACACATTAGAATTGGCAGGCTTCAGTTCTATCACTGATCCGTGAAATGACAAAAGGGGCTGCAAGATCACCCTACGGCAAGCAAAGGGTATCAAATTTCTTCAATTTCCATTACTTTAATTGCTGTATGCTTTGTTTCTGTTCAATTCTTGTATATTTTGTTTTCATATAATCGTCATGAGCTGATCACATCTCCGTTTATTTCATCCCCCAGAAAGGAGAAGATATGAAAAAGCTGAAATTAAACATGGAATGGATAAGCAAAGAAAAAATAGCTGGTAAAAGGTTAGTCTGACTGAGAAAAACTGCCAAAACACACAGCAACCTAATTAATGTGTTCGTTTTGGTTCCATTTTTTCATTATTTGGGCTGATACCAAATCCTTAGAGCTCTGGCTTAGATTGGATAGGTTACGTTTTTGTTGTTTTGAACTGTTCAAGACCCTCCAGGTCAAATTCAGTTCAAACTTAGAACTAACATTAGAACATTGTATATTACTTGTCTTTGTCCCCCTGGAGAACTTTGATCGATTCCTGCCTGCCAGATGGAATAAAAAATAGATGGCGATCGTTGTCGCCAAATTCCAAATATGAATAGCAAAGGAATGCTAGCTCCTGGTCCTAAGCCATTCAAAAATTTTTTTATCATAAAATAATATTTTTAATTTCAATGATCAAATATCGGATTCTGATAACTTGATCAATTGAAAAAAAGAAAGAGGAAGAATTTTAAATCTTAAGCTTAGGTCTTCCGTGCGTAGGATTGATTTAACCTTATGTTGATTTATTTATTTGGTTTTTCTTAATTTATTTCTCCGAACTTAATGTAATGATTATGTCATGGAATTTTTTTTGAAGAATTTTTTAATATATGTTTTTTTAAAATTATATAATAAGAAGTAATTTTCTCTTATCTTAGAAATCTCTTTCCTCTTTAAGATTCAAATTCAGATTTCAAACTTAAAATTAATCAAGTTTTAACTGCTGCGTGTGTGTTTTATCATGAGACATCTTGAATATTATTTAATTGCGGTTATTTAAAACATTTTTCGAACTACATAAAATTGTAAATTATACCCTTTGAACAAAAAAATAAATAAAATCAAGGATGTACTTCCTTTTTTTAACATTAATTTTCTCAGACCAAGAGAAGAAATTAAAATACATGTGCTTTTCCATACATTGATTTTCATATTTATAACTCCAATCCATATACTTTCAGGTCATACAGGAAACAAGGCAGGAAGAATTTTCCGAGCAGGGAAAGCACCAGCCCCGGTAAGATTAATTTTTTCCCTCCAATTAACACTATGAAAATTGTTGATATTTTCCAATTTATCTTTAATTTTCAAAAAGAGCAATTACAAAATTCTTTAATTATATATATTTTCGTAGTCAGGCTTATTTTAATAAAATATCTATTGAGTTTTTATGATTGAATACAAGAGCACTTTGTTAAGAAACAAACAACGTGGTCCCATCCTTGATGGGACAAAAGCATGGCCTTGGGACCCAAGATTTTGATGTCTTTGTCTTCTTTCATATATGTCAAGATTCCTTATTCAAGCAATAATTTCTTCTGTGTCTCACTTTAATTTATATGTCGGCCGTTTGCAAACAAGGGAGGAGGGCCAAAGTTGTTGGAAAGAAGTTGCATCGGTGCCAATCCAGGCTCCAGGTTGTGCTGATGCAAACCGAATTGGCAAGGATGAAAGTAGAGATGAGTGAGTCGGCAGAGTCGCTAATGGCAGCAAAAATAGAAGCTACTCAGGCCGAGATTAAATTTGAACTGCTGATTACAAGAAGGAATGAGTTGATGGACAACTTTCTGGAAATGAAGGAAGCTGAAGCTTTTCTGATGCTTAAGCAGGGTTTCCTTTGAATTGGTAAATAACTTTTTAGAATGTATAAATTGATAATTATGGTGTGCTTGAAACTTGAGTAAGTTTTTATAATTAGAATTGTGAAAAATGATATCTCACAGTTAAATTGGAATTATTTTGGATATACAAATATTTATATATCCGAAATAATCTCAATTTAATTGATGTGAGTTTCTTTATTACTATGTATAAAACTCAATAGCATTATCTTATGGCATGATTTCTTAGTTAGAATTTTGAATCTTATTTGCTTATGTACGATTTTTTTTCCCTTGTTGGAATAACTATATCAAGTTTTTTTAAAAGAACCTGGAAATCAATCTATTCAAATAGCTGCATGACACAAGAAAAGGTTTAAGACTACTGAATAAACTCGATTGCACATGAAAGAATGGCAATAAGAGCTTTGAATTAGCTCTGGTAATTTCACCTGGGGTATCTCAACAACCCATTCTTGAATTTAAGCCTTTCTTTATGTCCTGAAATTCCCTTTTGGACCATGGTTTTTAATCAAGAAATAATGACCTTGTAGCATATTGGTACACAAAGAAAAATAAAAGGAAACATGCTTTGAGTTTCACTACCTTAAGACAAAATCTTAACCTTGTCTAATATTTTCCAATGAGGAACATTTTGGCCACAATCCATCACAAGTTAGACATGTAAGGAACATGTTGAGATCTCAGACATAGCTTTGTCTCATCCCTCTATTGATCTCGATTGCATAAATTGGATTATCTTTTCTCACCTTCAATATGGTGATCTTATAGGTTAAGTATTTCTGTAGCTATCCAGTGATTTTCTGACCAATTCTGTCAATAAAAGTATGAGCAAGTTAAAGAGGAAACAACAAAGGGAAAAACATATTTTATTGCTGGGAGAAAAACAAGCTTTGGCTAGTAAATCTTTGTGCCTGGTAATATTAATTAAAGACCTCTTTATCATAAATGTTGCATAGCATCCTGGTTGCTGAAAAACAGACTTACACTTTCACAACTGCAGTCATAATCAAACTTAAAATCTGCATACAGGGCCATACAATAGAAGACGTACATATAGAACCTCTACATCACACTTCAACAACAACTAACTTGCTATAAAGACAAAATCTGTCGAGCATTATATGAAACAAGTTACCATTTCAAGACTTCAAGTTTGTTGAAACAACGGTTTAATTGTTTTTCCACCAAAATACTGACTGAAAAAAGTGTAACGCAAAACAATAATTGTTTTTCCATCAGAATAGTGACTGAAGGTAGGTAACCGCATTCTTATCCAGACGAAAAGCCTTAGCATTACATCAAGATTAATGGGTAGCTTTGATCCAACCATCCTTGCAGAACATCTGGCATGAATGTTAGGGACATCTTATGGCAAAAAATCAAAATTCTAATAGAGACTTAGCTCACAGATTCTGGTAATATGAATACAGACCCGAAAATAATTAGACTTGATTTGGCGAGGCGCGCCAGGCCCAAGCTGTAGTGCAACGCTCAGGCGACGCTTGAGAGCCCCAATAGCAAGCTATTGTGGTGGACTCCCCCCCTTGAAAAATAAATTTAATATCATGTGAGCCAATGGCTCACGTATCAGATATTAAACTGATAAGAACAGATACTACACTTGATCTTAGCCAAAAGGCCGAGAAAGGTATGCTTAAACTCATCAAAGTCCGCTTCTTTTATGAGCAGATTCTTGCCCCTTCTCATTTTCTTCTCTGTGATGTGGGATTTATTTAAACGTGCTAACAACACAGTGAGTGCTCTCACATAAAGAGAGAACCCTTCCTGAATAGGCTATTGCAGGGCCACTTACGACTTGTTGTGAATCAAATTAAAGCACAGCCAAATTAGAAATGTAGAAATTGTGGATTACGTGCCATAGTTCCATCTGGGGTTAGTTTGTGTGCTCCATTATAAGGTTTGAGCGTTTTCTTGTGGCATGGAAATTCCATTCTCAAATTTCAGAGTAATCAAGAAATAATAGTCATGTATGAGAACTGTTTTCGGTGCAGATTCAACATAGCTGGTGCAAAAGATGGTAAAAGATTCAAATTTCATTTTTAAATAGTTGGGATAAACAGATGATCTATAACCACTTAGAAACTTGAATATGTTCTTTCGTTAATCATCGTTATAATAGGCTTAACAGGTTTGCCTTATTTGGAACAATAAAGAAGAAATAGATTTTGGGTTTTGGCAAATTCTAGTATTTGCATAGGACATACAAGTTGTGCTGGTTGTAAAAGACCAGCTAAAAATCTTAGATTTAATGCACTGGACTAGGAGTGGCAGAATGGTGCACCAAAGCTGAGCAAAATTGCAATATTCCTGACATTAAAACCCAGTTTACCAAAACTTTTCACAATGTGCAGATTAATTCACTACTTCAAGTGCATCAAAGAAAAGGTTGGAAAATTGGCTTTCCAGTGCCTTGTTTTTGAAACAACCATTTTTAGCATTTGAGAATGCAAGATATCCATCTCCTTTCTTTATCAAGACTGTTTTTATTAAGTTTAAAACATTTTTTTTAAGTAAATTATAAATGCTTCATCGATTCAGACACACTTGAACTGAATGTGCAGAAAAATGCAGACATCCAAGGGATGCCCATCCATAAGTTAAATTCCATTTGTATCTTCTAGTGTTTGCTATAATAACTCTTTCTTCACTTTGTTTGTTTCCGCGAATAAAATGCACATGGGTTCGTCACTATAATAAGCAAGCCTCAAAAACATACAATCCCAAAAATTCTACTTGACAGATGTTGAAGTTGAAACAATGGTATAATTGTTATTCTACCAGACTCGTGTGACTGAAGATGTTTCACCGCATTGTTGTCCAGCTGAAATCGCCTTGGCAAGTATATCAGGATTAGCGAGTAGGTTTGATACAAACACAGAAGATTTATTTTCAAGTGATGATCATTATAATAAGAAAGAGAAAGAGATGAGAAGAAATGGAAAAAAATTTTAAAAGGTAAATAGTATTTTCCTTTTTTATAAAGAAGAGCGGGATAAGAGAAATGATTACATATATTAAGATTTAAAATCTAAATTTATCAAAAGTCATTTTTTGTAAATAATTATATGAAATAATAGAGCTGAAGCCCTAAATTTATAATTTATACTCCATATTTTGTGTCAAGAAATATTGTTAGCAATGAGAGTCACTCTCCATCGATATTGATACATGATTATCTGGGTGTCTTTTTCTTGTTTGGGTACATGCATGATCATGTATGGAATCACTCAATTTATTTTGACTTATGGTCTTTGCTTTATTTTATAAAGAAAAATTATCAAATATATTCATAGTAAAATTTTTTTAAATTTATAAGTGAGATTAAAATGGAGATATATGTTACTTAGTGAATATTTAAAAAATAAAAAATTATTTTAAAAAAAATGAGATATATATCACTATCTCAACCTCATTTATAAAGTTAAAAAACCCTATTATTAATTTATCAAATAATTTCTCTATTACAAATTCATAAGGCTTTTTACATGGGTTTTTCCTGCATTAAGATAAAATAAAATTTTTATTCCTTAATAAGGATATTTTTAATCTTATTTTTCTAAATGGAAAACTTCATACCATGTCATCATTTTTGTTTTTTTTTCCTCTTCACTTCAATTGTTTCTTATCTTTATAATTTTTTTGTCAAAAATCAATAGTATTTGATTTTTTTGTAATTAGAGTTACAACAAATATTACAACATTCATCAGACTATTACTTTTTTTTTTAAATCAAAATCTATCTATAAGTGAAAAAAATTTAGAAAGCTTGTATTTTTAGCAGTGTTCCTTTTTTCAATTTCTATTCTTCAAGTCCTCTTTTAGCAATATTGCATCATAATGGGAACTCTCATAGATGTCCACCTCATATAATTTGGACAAGTATCTCCCATCATGGAATCACTTCCGTTCTGTATAGGTTTTTTCTTGTCTATGTTACAACGATTACCGCAATACCCAATATCTGGGAACAAGCCTGTTACATACCATAATTTAAGACCGAAACAAACCCAGCATCAGCAACCAAGCCTGGTATACACACCAAAACAAAACAAGAAAATACGGGAGAGATAAATATTAACTCACAACTAAATAACAAGTGGAAAAGCGCCCCTAGTAGTAAACAAGAAAATGAGGAACTTCACCTCGCAGACCCTGTAGCTAACATTGTCATCCGAGAATGAAGTTCTCAACTTTGTCAAGTACCCCTCCTTTAGCTAATGCATCAGCCAATCCGTTTGCCTTTCTATAAATTTTCTGGAATTTGACTTTGCACTTTTACAAGGATGATAGATCTGTAAGAAAAACCGACCATAATTTCCATAGTCTAGTTTCTTTTCTTGTACACCTGTTCAAGGCAATCAACGAATTAGATTCGATTATCAAATGAACACCAACAAACCGCCCAGAATTCACAAAAGTCTCCAAAGCAACATTGATAGCCAAAAGCTTAGCAATATTCGACTCAAGAACACCTAAAGGGGTAAAGAAGAATTCTCTCTCAGAAAAAACTTATCTGCATGTCTGTACTAATTACATTTACAGAGAAGTCCCCATTTTTCGAGCTACTGGGGCTTTCATTGAAAAATTTTGGATTGCAATTTGGAATGGAGATGTGGATTTAAGTTGTAGGCTTGCAGGCACAACCTTGCGAGGAGAAGGATAGAGAAGTGAAAGGAAGGAGAAGCTGATGAGGAGAAAAATGCTGATCTGGAATTTAATTGAGGGTACAAATATCTGTATTTTTTAATAAAGTTTAAAAATGTTTCATTTAAGTAATTAAGATTAGAAAGCATCTAAGTGTGGGAAAAAAAACTCTTTTTACTTCCAATTCGGTTTAGTTTTATGCATTTCCCCACAACACATGAAAGACAAGAACTAAACTTTTTTTTTCTTTTTTTTTAAAAAAGCACGTTGTTGGGAATGGATAATAGGTCCAAAGTTGAATGCTTTTAAATTGTAATAAAATTTTATGAAGATTACAAATCATGTAACTTTCAACATTAACAATTTAAATTTAATGGACATTTATGATTTCTTAACTGTCACGAGCAGTCGAACGATTCTCGATCGACTCGTTGAAATGTCGCGCGGTGGTGATCTGTCTCCCTCTATAATTGAAAAGACTGCCATAAAGTCAAGTTAAAAAATTTTTTTGGGAAACTTAGAGTTAAGTGTAATAGGAAGGAAAATATTTTATGTGTGTGTCACGTTAAAACATATATTCGTAAAGGGGAAATAGTAGAAATCTTATGATCTATGAAGAAAGGAATCATTACTACATTTTTATTGTTAAGTTTCCGCTTCTCAGTCATTAGGGGAGAGGTAGGGAGGAAGGGGCAAGCAGTCGCCATTCTCATTTGGTTTTTGACTGGACCCTGCCTGGTGCGTTTAGGGCCTTAGGCCATTTTCTTTCCAATCTCATTATTAATCGTGTTTGGACAACATCAGTTGCGCTGTGTTGAGGTCTCTGAATCATACTAACACACCAATCGAAGATTGGAGCTTGGGAGAGTATTTGGTATTAGATTATTCGTTTAATTTGTATTCAGTAATTATATTATTTTATTTAGTATTAATTTAAAATTTTTATGTAAAAGTAATCTTAAATCATTTGGTTGATAAAATTATTGTCTTGATAAGTAATTTGATTCCTAATCTAAATAATGAGAAAGTTTTATCAGTATGAAAAAATAAATTTTAATATTATTTTTTAACTAATTAATTTACTCTCATGAAAAATATATTTAGCATTATGTCAAAAATCTAGTCACTAAAAATTTTACAAAGTTTATTTTTTTTAATCACTTATTCAAAAAGGATTTTATATTTTAAATTTATATTGATTAGAGAAAAGATAATGTATTTATTTAATAATTTTTTTAGAAACTTTTTTATCAAAATTGATTTATACTTTGTAATTTTTTTATAGAATAACATTTAACTATTTTATAAATTTTTTATTCAATAAGTATTAAATATTTTACTTTTTTAGAAAATTATTTTGGATATTTTATATTGTATAATTTATTATTTTATATAATATCAAATACAATGATTTATAATATTAGTATTAAACATGGTAATTTAAGATCACTGGTGACCAAATCACCTTGGTGATCTTATCGTCATAGTAATTAAATTACTATGGTGATCTTAAAAATAATACCAAATACTATTTTAAGAGTTTGACTTTTAACATTAATCTTTTTTTTCATTTCTATCATATGCTTAAATGAGTTGTTGTTTATAGGAAAACTTAAATTTTTTTTGTTTTCTTCTCCTTTTCTATCACTACTCAAAATTTTCAACCCTAAGATTTGATATAAATTAATTTTAATAATTTTTAATAATTTATTAATTTAAAAAATATCAAATATATTATAAATTTTATTATATGCATGTTCTAATTTAATGTTTTTAATGGTCATTTTCTTTTTTCACTACACTTCATGTCACTATTATCACTACGTTTGTATTCAAACACATATCTTGTTACTGATTTTAATCTCACCATTATTGCATTCAATCTCACATTTACCGTAATTAATTTCATAATTACTATTTTTTTAATATCATCGAAATCAATCTTATCGCCTATTCAAATAAATCCTAACCCTATCCATTGAACTTGACACTACTCAGATT